AGTAGTACTACTACTAGTAGTAGTAAGTAAAAGGCACAAGCATTTATATTATTCAGCACCAGCGCCAGTACTGCGACTGGCAATGCCGATCAAATGAAACCCCAAGCCCTTAACGCTGAACCCTAAACACCCTACACATCCTGGAAGCCCTATTAGCCCTCTAAAGTTCTATACAACCCAAACCCCTAAAAACCCTATAGAGCCCTAACCCTACAAACCCTGTACACCTCATAACGCCTAACCCCTAAACTCAGCCCGCACCCCTGGTCGTGTCATCATCTCGCTTGCGGCTCGGCTCCTTCCTCCGTTTATGCTTGCAAAAAACGAACCTGCAAGGTTCCTCTAAGGGATCTTTAAATGATTACAAGGTTCTATAAGGGTTCCATAATATAGGGGTCGGATTAATTAGCAATGATATTCCTTTTGGTTCCTTGTCAGAGTTAAAGTATAATATTCGCCAGAGCCGTAATGTATCTAAAAATTAAACCGCCTATATTATCCTTATCGCTGCACTGCCGTACATTTAGAGGGTATGACAATCGAACCGCAAAACCTAGCCTCGTACATATCCCGATATCATCATACGGTTTGGGGTTGAGGGTTTAGAGTTCAGGTTAGCCTGTTGTAGTTCTACAGATCTCGCACAGCGGCCACAAATTTGTAAGCAAAACGATGTAGCCCTAAAACCTCAAGCCCCACAAAGCTTTAAAAGGCAGGCCTGATGCTCACTTCGATGGAGAACAAGACCTGCGAAGTGCCAGGGAGCGTCTAAAAAAGGGAGCTTGAGGATTTAAGGAATACTTTTTGGGCATTTCAGGGTTTGGGGTTTAGGGTGACAGGGGCATTTAGGGGGTTCATGGATTAGGGCTTCTACGGCGTTTGGGTGGGAGGGTTTGGTGGATTTAAGGCTTTGGTGTTTTCGTCTATATACGAAATCTTCGACAACAACCTCGAGACCCGCCCCCTACACCAGAACACCCCAGAACAAAAACCTATAGGACCCCATTGAACTACAAAACCTATCCAACGTGAAGTTAAGCCCATTGAGCCCCATAGCAGCCGCCCTTTCAACAACATAACAACCTGTAAGACCCTCTACAGCTTTAAACCCTTAAGCCCCTGAGCCCCAAAACCCTTAAGCCCTTAAACCCGTAAACCCTTATGCTCCTCTACACAGCTTTAAACCTTTAAGCCCTTGAGCCCTACACCCTTAAGTGCTCCAGGGTTCGAAACTCTCCTGCAGCTCAGTCACGGCAAAGATCAGCTGAACGGTGAGGGATTCGGCTCTCCAACCCGCCGTTCCTAAGCTCTCTAGCGGATTTTCGATAAAGGCCCAGGTAAACCCAAAGGGCCCTGGGTACTGTTCTGGGGGATACCTTCCCAAATTATAACAACAACTGCTAATATAGAAGCCCTGCATTCTACTATGCAGGTACTTTGGACCCTTTGGGAAAGGGTTCCATGAAGGCTGCATAAAAACATCGTCCTAAGGAGTTTCCAGAGGGCTCCAGTTGCCGGTCACTGGGTTACAAAATGTGTGGTCCGTAACCCAGAAGCTAGGTAACTGGAGCCCAAGTTTTAGAGAGGGCTTTCCCTTCAGGCTCTAAAAAGCTTCCAGGTAGGCTCTACAAGTCTACAAGCCTAACCCTAAGGAACGGCCTTATACTTGCATGATCATGGGAAACACGCTTCCTGCGTTCGCCCAGCTTCGGCTCTCCTTCTCCCATTGCAGCTGTATTCCCAGATACAATGCCTCAGAATTCGGAGACTGCTTCGGCCACTCGGAAGGCGAGTTCTCGGGCGCGGGATCAAACTTCAGGGTTTGGGCCGCTGTGGCTTTCGGGAGTTGAAGGTGGGGTGTTGGGTTACGGCTTAGGGTTTCGGGTCTAGGGTGCCGCTAGGCTTCGTGATTATGCTCAGCAAGATGAACGTCTCGTGAACAGCCCATTTTCCACCCGCACGCAAGCATACATGCATACCTATATCCCTACCTACCTACCTACCTACCTACCTACCTACCTACCTACCTACCTACCTACCCACTCATGCATGTATATATATATATACATATATATATATATATGTCTTTCTCTCTCTCTCTCTCTCCGTCCAACTATTAAGAAGTATGTTCATGTGGACATATCTCTACATGTGTATGTGTACACACACATATATATATATATATATATGCATAGATATACATACTACGTGTATCTATACTATACTAATTATGCCTGTGTACGTACACATACATGTGCCACCGCTCTTCTGTGAACTTTACTACCACTAGCTGCACGTTTTAATTCAGACTTTGCCTTTGAAGAGAACGAAATGTCCCGAACCCTAAACCCTAAACCCTGAACCCTGAGCTCTAAACCCTAAACCCTAAACCCTAAACCCTGGCGTGCAATTCAAACCCTAAACCCTAAACCCTAAATCCCAAACCCTAAAACCTTAACCGGAACCCTTAACCCCAAACCCCAAGCTCAAAGCCTGCGCAGCAAAACTCAGAAGGTCAGGACGAAAGGCTTCAGTGTTGCAGGCTTTGAAGACACGAGGCTTGCAGTGAGGACGAAGGCTTTTTCAACTTTGTGCTACTTCGGTTCAGAAGGCTGAATAAGTAGGGTTTTAGTGTTTAGGGTTTTAGGGTTTAGGGTTTAGGGCTTTAGGGCTTCAGGGCTTTAGAGTTTGGGGCTTAGGGGTCATTGGGCTCTAATGTCATAATATCGGGGCGTTGATAGTTGGACTAGGGATCCTTTACGGCTCTCTACAAGGCCTACTGAAGGATGCAACTCTGATAAATGGGCCTCAGAGAATATAGAACTTCGACAGAACGAACCTACGGACGCAATAAAATTGCTAATATGTTACGTGCCTGAAGGAGAAGACCTAAGCAGCCTGCAGAAGCCGTACACGGTTTAGCGTTTAGGGTTTTAGGGTTTGGGGTTTAAGGGTTTAGGGAGTTAGGGTTTAGGGCTTTAGGGTTTTAGGGTTCAGGGTTTAGGGTTTAGGGTAGGGTCTTGTTTTTCTTGTGTGAACTCCCTTTCATGACTGCCGGAATTAGGGCCATGAGCGTTTAGTCGTGAATTGAATGCCGTAAGGCACAAACCGACTCTGCTCCAAAATGCCCCAGAGCCAACTTCCAACGCCGGAATGCAAAGCTAGAGGTGCCCCTGCCCTATCATAAGGATGTGAGTGCTTGCGAAAACTATCCTTCCTTCGTAAAGTTACACTTTAGTATAACCCTAAACCCTAAACCCTACACACACACACACCCCTAAAGCCTGATCCCCACTTGTCTAGGCCCCCCCGGATCCAACTTCCCGAGCCCTGAACCCGAGGCTCCATTTCAGAGCAGCCGGGGACGTAAAGCTAAGACATGTTTGGGGAGGATAGGGGTTTAGGGTTTAGGGCTTAGAAACGTAGAGCCAAGACACGTTTGGATAGGGGTTTAGGGTTTAGGGCTTAGAAACGTAGAGCCAAGACACGTTTGTGAGGATAGGGGTTTAGGGTTTAGGGGTTTAGGGTTTAGGAGCGCAAAGCCAAGACACGTTTGCGAGGATCACCGCCGCGAAAAAGAGCTCAAAGGCCAACCTCATGGATGGCAAGCTAGCAAACCTGGAAGCCAGAAAAACCCTAAAGCCCACACCCCGAGCCTTCCCGTAGACGGCTGATTAATAAACATTTACATATGTTTACATGAATACTTGAACTTTTGATGCAGGATTTATGTCGCAGAAGCACATCCAAGATCCCAGAAATCCCCCAGACCCTAAAACACAACACCACGCAAACCCAACAATAGAGTCGTCGACCTTGAACCTGGGAAATCAATATTTGGCAAGCCCAAGTTCAGCACTGGTACTTGAGAAAGGAACGGAAAAGCAACATTAATATTAAAACTCCAATAACACCCACAAAAACCAGCTGTTAAGACCCACATACAAGAACCCTACGCGACCTTACTAACCAAACAAATATCAAGAACCGTAGAAATCCCCTTACTCTGCGAGGGACGAGTTGGCGACCCGTTTCGCGAGCTCTCGCAAGCTCGGCCGCCTAGGCTCCTGGCTCTACGACGTGGCGTGGGGCTGAGGGTTTAGGGTTTAGGGGTTTAGGGTTTAGGGTTTAGGCCGTAGCCATAAGCAGTATGGGTTTAGGGTTTAGGGAAACAGCAGGAACAGCAATGATGATATGAGCGACAAGGGCTGTAGCAACAGTAGTCGGCGGTAACAGAACCCAAATTGGGTGCAAAGTACCTGCATAGTAGAATGTAGGGTTTCTATATTTGCAGTTGTTATTATGATTTGGGAATGCATCCCCCATAACAGTACCCAGGACCGTTTGGGGATGTAAACACGACACTGAGACATGTGCTTGCTTTAGGGTTTAGGGATTAGGGTTTAAGGTTTAGGGTTTAGACTCTTGGCAACATCTGATAATCCTACATGCTGTATAAGACAAACACCGGAGTACCTGTGTGCGGGTTCTAGAATGCTAGACGAATTACAGGAATATGCTTGAACATGCTGCATTCAGCCAGTCCCTCTCAGAACCCTCATCGTAAACTACCACAACCTACTTTTCTGTACGTTCTTGTTATAAAGCCGAATATAGAATTTTAGGGACCCTAGCAACATCAAGCCACGTCCTTTTTGCGGCAATGCATTGTCATCATCACCTCAACCCGTATGCCATATGCTATGAAGCACTCATCCGTAAATGCATACTAGACCTTGAGGTCGAAAGGCCCAAACTACGGCCTACACCCTAAGCCCTACTCGAAGGGTGCATGTTCTCAAACAGTATATACTTTGGCACCAAAGTACCTACATAGGGACTACTGTAAGGCTGAAGGTATGTACCGATTGGGTACATGGACCCTTCGTGCGAAGCCATGAAGCACTTTAACGCCAAACCCCAACCCGACTGCCGACCCCCAAAATTCCCAAACTCCCGAAAACCGCACAACTCCCAAATCCCTAAGCCCAAAACCCCCAAATCAAAAACTTCCCAGACCCACAAACCACCAAAACCCCAACACCCCTAGACCCGAAACCTGAAGGGAACTGAATGAGGAACCCTTCACAGAAACCTTAAAAGAATCAACATCTCTAAGACCTGGTCCCGGCTCCTCTTCGACTTCCTGGAGCAGAAAACGATGAGCGCTTCATGGTTTCTTAAGGGCTTGTTTATAAAACTTGTTTAGGGCTTATGATTAGCGGTTAGGGATTAGGGTTTAAGGTTACCGCACGGATGTTTATTTATACGGCTGTTTGTATATGAGGGTTCTGTAAGGGCCTTTTTGCGTCTCATCGGGATCTAACAAAAGGCTTCATCGTGGTTCGACACGGATTCGGAAGAGGTTCTGTCAGGGGCCTCCTTTCTTCATAAATGTTCCATAGAGTTTTGTGGTTCTGTAAGGCTTTATAAATACCCTAAACCCTAAACCC